GTCACATCCAACTCTAGGGGACAAGGCTCATTTCCGTTTCTTAACCAGCCAGCATTGTCCAAAGAGGCTTCTGTGGTCAGGTGGCCAGCGTGACTATATGCCAAGCTGCACAGAGTGCTGTTACCCTCTCACCGAAATGGTACCTATTTATTCTCATTTGCCTGCTTTCAAACTGCTAGGGGGACAGGAACTGGGGCAAGGATAGAAGCTCATCCTGTCGTGAGGTGCTCGGGTCTTGAACCCAGGCGACCAGTTTTCCAGCTGACAAGCTCAGTGTCTGTAACCACTGAGACATCATGCCCCCATATTTGTCTTGCTTTATGTTAATAATAAATACTATAATATGTGGATTTGATTATTTATAAATGTTGTTATTATTACTATGGCTTCTACAGGCATTCCTCAACTTACAACAGTTCATTTAGTGACCAATCAAAGTTACAATATCACTGAAAAAAAGTGACTTGTGACCGTTTTTTCACACTTACAATCATTACAGTATCCCCATGGTCATGTGATCAAAATTCAGCAACTGACTCATATTTATGACGGTTGCAGTGTTCCTGGGTCACGTGATCTCCTTTTGCAACCTTCTGACAAGCAAAGTCAACGGGGACTCCATATTCATTTAACAACTGTTAATTACTAATTTAACAAGTGCAGTGATTCACTTAGCAACTGTGGCAAGAAAGGCTATAAAATGGGGCCAAATTTACTTAACAAATGTTTAGCAACAGAAATGTTGGGCTCAATTGTGGTTGCAAATCGAAGAGTACCTGTGTATCACTGGTCCTGTATTTTTATTATTTCCAGTAAAATAACATTGTATAAGGACAAAGTGCTCGTTATTCCCATCCTAAGAATGGATATTTTTCTTACGCGTATGAAAAATTATAAAGCTTCCTTTCTATGCCTGTCTGTATGTAGCTTTATTCATGTAGGTAAAAGTGTTGATAGTCTGCTTCTCCCTGGATAAGGCTTTGAAACAGTTTTCTTACGTAAAACAATTACGTGCTCTGTATAAATCCAGTTTACTGCACATTGCTTACTCTAATTGCTCTTGGCCACTACAAAGTAATATATTGCTGGATTTACAGGCCTTTGCTTTGATTCAACATGCTTCATTTTAAAGCTACCAGATCTTGGCTTCAAAACTCTAGATAGTCATTAACTCTCAGTAAAAAAAAGCCATAGAAAACAGAAGTCTGGAGTTTTGTAGCACAGATTTGGTTGTACATTTTTTACATGTTTATTGTTAAATCACACTAAAGATCAAAGGCAGTAGAAGAATTGTACTAAATTTGATATTTAGTTTTTATTAGCTCTTTGTGCTTTAATGAAGAATATTTGATTTTGTTGGAAGGATTAATTAAGCACAAATTGTTTTATGGTGTTTAGGGAATATGAATCTAGTATATACTGTAGTTTGATAATGGAAAAATAAGAAAATATGTATAGCAATGTCACAAGCCATGACCATTTGTACTTGCATTCCACTGTTACATACACATACCTAAGTCATATGTTTGTATCGTGTCATCATATTGGGTTTGTTTTTTGTAATTTTGGCTAATTACAAAATGTTAATCCTAATCTTTTCTAGTTCTCAGCAGCTTTATGTAAGATACAAAGTTTTACACAATCAATTTTATAAAATATTGTCTTCCCTCATCAGCAGATTCATCCTTGGTACATTTATCTTTCAATGAAGATTAACAGGATGCTTTAAACATTACTAGTATTAGTATTAATAGGTAATACTTCTACAATTCACAGCAGTTTTTTTTTTTTAAATAGTCATAGTTATTAGCGCATTGTTAGCTGGATCCTAACACTACATTCCAAAACTTAAAGAAACACTTTTATTTTATATTATATTTATTTGCTCAATATAATTATATACTGCTTCATTTGGATAGATTCTTAATTGATGTACAATTAATTAATCCATATAAAGTGAATCAAATAATAATTAAGAACAAGAAACACATGGCTTATAGTTAACAGAAAAAATCCTCATTTTTCATGTTAAAAACTGAGATTAAACTATTGATTTTTATACTACTTCCCAAACTTTTAAATGTAATTTCACTCTTGATTGTACTTCTATTTTATTGTCTTTAGAAACATTTATGTTTTATGGTTTCATAGCTTTTAACGTTATAAGCTACCCAGAGTCGCCTTGAATCAAGATGGGCAGTAAATACATTTAATAACTAAATAAAATAAAAAATAAATAATGTAAATTACTTAAACCACTTAGCAATAGCAATAGCATTTAGACCGCTTCACAGTGCTCTATAGCCCGCTGTAAGTGGTTTTACAGAGTCGTCATATTGCCCCCAACAATCTGGACCCTTATTTTACCAGGGTGGAAGGCTGAGTCAACTTTGAGCCTGGTGAGAATTGAGTTGCCAAATTGCAGGCAGCCAGCATTCAGCAGAAGTAGCCTGCAGTACTGCATTCTAACCACTGTGCCATCTCAGCTCTTAACAATAATGCTCTTAATAATTTAATTCAAAATAGAACCAAAGTATGTGAATTTACATGTGAATGTAAATATTTTCATAAAGAAAGGAACAAATCTGATAGAACACTGGTGAGATCTCATATTAAGATCTACCTAGTGGCGATAAAAATGCCAAAATCTAATTATTTTTCCTCTCTTATCGGGTCTGCAGAGAACCGCCCAGCAGCCCTGTTTAGGGTGACCCGCTCCCTCCTTCATCTGGGAGCGAGGGAAGATCCCTTGCAGGGCAGGGCTGAGGATTTTGTGCAATTCCTGCATGACAAAGTCACTCAGATTCGGGAAGGCTTGGACTCTGATTGGGTAGATTCGGATGGGGTGACGGAGGTGGGTCTTGAGAATGTTATCTGGGAGGGGTTTGACCTTGTGACTCCCAAGGACGTGGACAGGATTCTGGGTAGGCTTAGCGCTGCCACATGTTTATTGGACCCGTGTCCCTCCTGGTTGGTGCTGGCCTTCCGGGCAGTTACACGAGGCTGGCTCCAGGGGATTATTAATGCTTCTTTGAGTGAGGGTTTCTTTCCCTGCTCTCTGAAAGAGGCGATGGTGAAGCCTCTCCTCAAGAAGCCTTCCCTGGACCCGGCTATATTAGCGAACTATCGTCCAGTCTCCAACCTTCGCTTTGTGGCTAAAGTTGTTAAGAGTGTGGTGGCGCGACAGCTTCCCCAGTACCTGGATGAAGCTGATTATCTAGATCCGTTCCAGTCAGGCTTCAGGCCGGGGTACAGAATGGAAAGGACATTGGTCGCATTGGTTGATGATCTCTGGAGGGCTCGGGACAGGGGTTGTTCCTCTGTCCTGGTCCTATTAGATCTCTCAGCGGCTTTTGATACCATCGACCATGGTATCATTCTGCGACAATTGGAGGGGTTGGGAGTGGGGGGCACCGTGCTGCGGTGGTTCTCCTCCTTCCTTTCCGACCGTACGCAGTTTGTGTTGGCAGGGGACAGAGGTCGACCTCGAGGCACCTTGTTTGTGGGGTGCCGCAAGGGTCAGTCCTCTCGCCCCCTCTGTTCAACATTTATGTGAAGCCGCTGGGTGAGATCATCCGTGGTTTCGGGGTGAAGTTCCACCAGTATGCTGACGACACTCAGCTGTACATCTCCACCCCGGACCATCCCAATGATGCCCTTGAAGTGATGTCCCGGTGCCTGGAGGCCGTGCGGATCTGGATGGGGAGGAACAGGCTTAGACTCAACCCTTCCAAGACTGAGTGGCTGTGGTTTCCGGTGTCCCACTATAGTCAGCTGGTTCCATCCCTGACTATTGAGGGTGAGATCTTGGCCCCCTCAGAGATGGCTCGCAACTTGGGTGTTCTCCTGGATGTGCGGCTGTCTTTGGAAGATCATATGACGGCCGTGGCCAGGGGAGCTTTTTATCAGGCTCGCCTGATACGCCAGTTGGGTCCCTTTCTGGACCAGGATGCCCTGCGCACAGTCACTCATTCCCTCGTCACATCCCATCTGGACTATTGTAATGCTCTCTACATGGGGCTCCCCTTGAAGAGCGCTCGGAGGCTCCAACTGGTCCAGAATGCAGCCACACGGGTGATTATGGGGGCGACTCGACGTACCCATGTAACCCCTCTCCTGTGCAAGCTGCACTGGCTCCCGGTGGTCTTCCGGGTGCAATTCAAGGTGTTGGTTACCACCTTTAAAGCGCTCCATGGCTTAGGATCGGGGTATATATGAGACCACCTTCTGCCACCGATAGCCTCCCACTGGCCAATACGCTCCCACAGAGAGGGGCTCCTCAGGGTGCCGTTGGCCAAACAATGCTGAGTGGCGACACCCAGGGGAAGAGCCTTCTCTGTGACGGCATCAGCCCTCTGGAATGAGCTGCCCCTAGAGGTTCGTATGATCCCTGACCTGCATACCTTTTGCCACGCCCTGAAGACCCTTTTCTTCCAACAAGCCGGGCTGGCCTAATATGAATTTTATAATGGGTGTATGTTAGTTTTTAATCTGTAAGCCAAATTTTTTTATATATGCAATTTTAAATTGTTTTTAAATTCTGTAAATCTATATGTGTTTTAATATGGCTGTACACCGTCCTGAGTCCTTCAGGAGAAGGGCGGTATAGAAGTCCAATAAACATAAACATAAACAAATATACATCATAAACTAACCCAACATGGTTCAACCTAAATGGACAGACCAAAAATGGCCTTCAAGGCTCCTTGAAGGGATAGCAGAGTCAAAATGACAATCTACCCTTGAATTGCAGCCGAAAGCTTATTGGTAACCTGTACAGTTTGTGTAGTAAACATTTTTTTTTCACAAAACAATAGTGAGACTAGTTAAAAAAAATATTGAAATAAAATCTAGCAAATCGTGTGGTGCTTTTGAGGAGGGTTGGCTTTGACTGTGATGCTGAACTCAAATGATGAAACCTCATATTACAAAGGCATAATTTGTAAAAGACCTGAAAATAATTGTATGGTTATACTAATGAAAAATTTTCTTACTTTTAGTTTGGTGGCCACCAAGGAAATTGACAGTGCGAGATCCCGTAGTATGCCAATGTCTCCTTCAGATTTTCTGGATAAATTAATGGGAAGAATGTCTGGCTATGATGCAAGAATCAGACCAAATTTCAAAGGTAATTTAATCTTCTAAGTTATTTATTTAATTCCAATATTTTCATTTATGCTAAAAGTTGTTTCTACATTACTTTCTTAAATAACACATTTAGCTAAAACTGTAATTTAGATTATGGCCTTGATTCTATACATTTTAATAAATAAAAAAAAATTCTATCCATATTGAAATTTGAAAAGAATTTGCAAGGGAGAAGCTTAATTGAAGACAAAGCATATTTTTAAAAAAAGAATAGAGTAGATACTGGATGAATTACAATGTAAAAAGAATAATTATGGAAATATTTGAAAGAATATGAAAGGGTTTATTTTGTATTTATACAAATATATTTGAAATTAGGATATTTAAAATTATATTAAATAGGCTACCATTTTATTTATCAATAAATAACTTGCTGGGGAAAAAAGACATAGTCTGACTAGATAACACAAACAAAAATCTATGAATAAGGATACAGTGAAAACAAATGCATCATACTGAAATAAAAAAAGTAATTTCATTATTCATTTATTACTTCGTGGTCCCAGGTACATTCCTTTTTATTTTTCCTATGAAATTTTATTGATTGATTGATAATCTTCTTGGGTTTTTAGAATTTCACATTCATTTGATTGTGAATTTATATTGTATTTAGTAATATTGCTGTTATTTTTATCTGTACTGTGCTGGATTCTATGTTAGTTTATATTTTAAAAAATCATCATTAAGCACAATAAAAATAAAAATTTGGATTAAACTCTATAATTGTATCTTGTTACATGTTTGACTGAGTTGTATACTATCTATTATTAGTCAAAGCTGGAAGTAAAATCCATAGTGGAAAGTAAAAACTACATAGCACAATAAAAAATAAAAATTTCTTAGCAACTTTTATTCTATAATTTTTCAACAGCAAATAAATTTAACAAATAAATAAATTTTCCAAGATGATATCAATAAGGATGGTCAAATGTCCAAAAGCAAAATACCATATTTTTCAGAGTATAAGACACTCTTTTTCTCCCCTAAAAGAGGCTGAAAATTTGGGTGCGTCTTATACTCTGAATGTAGCTTTTTCTAAGCTTTTTTTTCAGCCCTAACGAGCTGCTAGCAAGTGAAGTGATCTTCCGTGCTTTGCCTGCTTTTCTCCTTGCTGCTCCCTCTCAGCTGTGCTTTAGAAGCTGTTTTTCAGCCCTAATGAGGTGCTAATGAGTGAAGCAATCTTCGGAGCTTCGCCTGCTTTTCTCATTGCTTCTCTCTCCAAAGATCAGCTGTGCTTTAGAAGCTGTTTTTTACCCCCAAGCAGGGGATAAAAAAAGTGCCTGTGCGCACTCAAAACCAGCAAACTAATGTGCTGAAGCTGACCAGACTAAGGACGCTAGCCAGATGAATACCTGGTAGGCAGATTCCCCCCCCCCCCATTTCCTCTCGAAAAACTAAGCTGCATCTTATACTCCGGTGCATCTTATACTCTGAAAAATATGGTAGTTGGACTAAGAGTTGGCTGCTAAAGAATGGAAAGAAATCATGGCATTTAAAATTAATTGTGATGGAGGGAAAATTGGTGATTTTACCAGAAAAGGGAATAAATTATTTAATAATCTAATTTTTAACAACTACATAGCAGATAGTTCAATCATGCTCCCCTTTACATTGGGAATTTAATGTATATATGTGAGTGTTTTGGTTGCTTCAGTTATTTAAAATATGTAAGAGATCACATGAGTTTTTTCAATTTTTTCTTTCTACATACTTGCTTTTATTTGGCTGTTTTTAATGGATAAAGAAAATAAAAAGAAATGCATAGTCCAACAATGCAATGGGAGAAATTGTGTGAAGGTACAGAAAGGTATTAAAGGAATGCTCCAAATCTATTGGAGTCTTGAAAAGACTGATAGAATCAAAATCAAATATGAGAAAGTGGAAATAGTTAAAATAAGCATAAGACTATACATTAGTAGGCAGGCTGATCTTCTTCAGTGTGCTTTCATGAATATAAATCCTGAATTACAAAAATAATATAGCTTTCCAAATACACTAGAAGGGAAATCTAGGAAAGCAATATTGAAATCTTCACACAGAAGAAAGCAACAATTAGAAATATCTTAGAGTTACTAAATCATTTTATTATGTGTGTACAATTCAAATAACAAATAACTATTTGAGTTAAGCAGTATGATTTAGCACAATCTTTCTCAACTTTTAAATCTGGAGGAAGCCTTGTATTATTTTTCAGGCCTTCAACGTCAGGCCAGACGTTGAAAAATAGTATCTTCATTTTATGTGTAGACCTGTATATATGCATTAAGAGTGTTCTTAAACTTAAAAATAAATAAAAAGTTTTCCTCCCCCCCTCCCCTAAAACTTTGTGGTGGCTCCTGCTGACACTGGTGCCCAGGCCAGTCCTAGATCTCCTGAACCCCTTTGAGATGGAGTCCCCCAGGGCACTATACTTTCAGAAAAGCAGGGTAGTAAACTGGCAAACTGGCAAAGAACCCTGGCATGGAGGCCCTGGTGGCATCTCTCTTGTGCATTCTCCACCATCTGCTATTCCTCTGTCCTTGCTCATTCCTCAGCTTGACTTGGCTCACTCTTCACTCCTCAGCTCAGGCTTTGCTCATCTTCCTGCTTGCACAGAGTCCATACACACCAATGGGTCAACCTAGGGTTGGATGTTGGAGCTTTTTTGTTCGGTCACTGTTTTGTTATATATATAAATCATGATCTCCCTGGAAACCCCTAGTGGCCTTTTGAAGAATCCTAGGGTTCCCAGAACCTTAGTTGAAAAAGCCTGGTCTAGCATATATAAAATACTGCCAAAATGAGTTTAAATTTATTTCAACAATTCCTTATGATTAGTTCTATACAATAAATGCTTTTTCACAATAGCCTTAGAGCAAAGGATTAGAGCAGATTTACCAAACTGCTTCGTTTGCAGACACAGTCTGCAAATCACACAAATATTGTAGACACAAAATACCTAACAATGATATGTAGCCATGCATACACTACACTGTATCCTCAGACCATTGGAGATAAATTGGGACGGGTATAAACTTCTTTAATTACTCAAGATGAAAAATACTTCTAATATTGCATTATAATTTCACCACTTTTCATTCCTACACAACTACTGCCAGGACTTAAGATGTTAATATTTATTTATCACAGTTTAGCTTATCAGCACAACTTCCATTTCAATTTAATGTAAAGCTATTCTGAACAAAAGATTATTTCAAACAAATAATTTCCCCTCCTTTCTTTCTGCTTTTAAAAAGATCTCAGAAAAGAAGATATAAATAGAAAGCTTAAGTCTTAGGAATTCATTTAGTGATTGGATTCTGAAGCTTAGAATATATACAGTACAATCATCCTGATCTACTATATTATAATGTAGGATGGGACAGATGTAAACCCATTAGTGGATTTTGCAACTTCAAAATATTTATGATATTGTGTGATGTTTTCTAAATTCATCCCCCCTCCCCCCAGTGATAATTTGTGGTATCGGGTTCCAGTTAAGCAGAAAGCAGAAAATAAAATAAACAAAATATTATGTATCCACAGTGCTATATATCTGAAAAATAAAAATATGTAGGAATTATATACAAGTAATTTAATTAACTCAAGTAATTTTGTTTAAATGTAATCAAAATTAAAAAGGAAGTTACCATGCTGCAAAATAAAACATCAGCTTGGAAATTTTATATTATTGTTTTTATAAAATTACAATAGGTCTCATGGCCCTTTTAAAAAAAGAATGGCTACAGCATTATTTATTAGTTTGTATCTGCTTATACCCACAAAAGAAGGAAAAAAGCTATAGGTTGATAGCAGATGTCCTAGTAGCAAATAAAGCTACTAGATTTTTTTCTATTGAATTAGTATTTGGTGACTGACCATTTTAAATTGGGCAATGATTTCATCAATAGGATTTGATCATTCACACATAAAATATGAAAGTGATATTAAGATAGGCAACTAATAATCATATGATCATCTTCATTTCGCTAAGATACATTGAACCATTTGGGAAGATTTAGATATGAGAACAGAATTTAATTTTTCTCTTTAATTTAATTATAAGAAGGCATATTTCAAATGATTAAAAAAAAGGTTAACACTATAGTAATTGCCAAGAAATGGAGTAAATTCCCTTTCACTAATATATTCATGTCATTTATTGGAAATATTTTACATTTTATTTGTATACTGACCTATGATGTAATCAGGTTTTAAATAGAAGTTTTTGTCTCTAAATGTTTGCAATTAAAATGTAAAACATGTGTGAATCATGACAGTAGCATGAAATACCCTTATTACCTTTCAGAATTATACAACATGATTAGGTTGAATTGGATTGAATTGAATTGGAGGAATAGCTTTATGAAATAATGTCACTTTTAGTCATTGTGCTGTAGAACTGTATTGTCTATTGCAGGGGTGTCAAACTTGATTTCATTGAGGACCGCATCAGGGTTGTGTTTGACCTTGGGGGGGCTGGGGTGAGTGTGGCCAGGGTGGTCATGGCCAGCTCGACATCAGTCATGTTGGGGGGCATCTGTGTGGTGGCCCGAGCACTCTGCCAATTAAAACAGGCTCCGGAGCTCCATTTTTGGCTGCAACAGCCTCCTGCAATCCTCTGCCAATGAAAACTGATCTTGGAAGTGCCACCCGCAGTCCTCGTGAGCTCCATTTTCAGCTGCAATGGGCTCCTGACATTCTCTGCCAGCGAAGACAGAGCTCAAGAGGGCCGCACGCAGCCCTCCTGGGCTCCATTTTTGCTGGCAGAGGTACTGCGGTCTGGTCCTTTGCTGTTTCCAGGGTGGCTCCACGGGCCAGATCTAAGCACCCAACAGGCCAGATCCAGCCCACAGGCCTTGAGTTTGACATCCCTGGTCTATTGTATCCTTCAAAGTAAAATCAACTACTCAACAAGTTGCACAAAATTATCTTTCAAAAGCATCCAAATATTTGATTCAACTATCATGAATTCTTTATTGTTTAAAAACAATAGTTCTAGAAGCTTGGTCAATTACTAATGGATTTCAAGAATTACCAGTATCAATCCAATATAGACACATGATTACCATGCCAGTATAATATTCATTATTCAAACCATACCCTTAAAAATAACTTTCTTTTCCACTGAAATTTAGCCTTTTAATAAATTTTGAAAATAGTACAAATAGTTCACTTTCATATAGACACTAATTTCTTCATGCCTTAATGTTTTATAGGGCCTCCAGTAAATGTTACATGCAACATCTTCATTAATAGTTTTGGATCCATTGCAGAAACAACAATGGTAAGATGCTCTTTATGGAAAATTCAACATATTAAAGTATATTTATTTAGCATATGGCATCATCGATATTACAACTAAAACACATTATACATACAGACACAAATATAAGTTTCAATGAAACATCAGCAAATATATATATTCAATATACAGGATAAAATTTTAAATTAAGGTAAAATTATAATAAAAATACCATAATGTAGCACTGTAAGTCACAATAGGATAAATGTTATAATTGCTAAGAAGCTAACCATCTAACTGCAACATATTTGAGTGACAGTTGTACCCAAATGACTTTGAAATAAGTGACTTAATATGTGTAAGAATGAGAGGTGGAGCAACTAAAATATTATGCATTTATTGCATAATAAGTATATATTATTCTATGTAATTCCAATGCTCCTTAATAAATATATGTTTCCATTCATTCTTTAGAAAGGAAAAAGAAAATCCTGAATCCTCCTTTCATCAACCCTTTTCACATTGCATAACATTGTCAACTGATTGCTTTTGGACACAGCTTATTTTCCAATTCTTTTCGTTACCTTATCATGGATCATTTTCAGAAGCACATCACTTTTTGTACAATACTAAAACAAAATTAACCTTCTTCTGTAGTTGTCTTCCATTTATTGTTAAACTTGAAATTATTAATTTATCTATTTATTCTCTTTATATATTAGTTCTTATTGTTACACTAACCCTTTCTGTGTACATCATGTTGAATTGCTTATTTATGTATGTATATAATACTTCCCTCTAAGGTTTGAAATAATTCAATGGTTTAAAATAAATAAATGCAGCAATTAAATTATATTTTTCCTCTAGTCAAATAATAGATTTCTTATTGTACTCAGTGTCATATTGATCTTTTTCCTTTCTCTCCTTGGGGCTTCTTACTGTCCCTTTGCATTACTTTTATTCATTCAAAATTACCATATCTCCTAACCAGAATTTTCTTCTATGTTTATTTATTGTTTGCTACCATAGTAATATACTTCTTAAGTCTCTCTGTTTATTGATATTCCTCTTTTTCCTCTCCTTATTTGTTTGTGTAGTTATTTATTTATTTTGTAGGATGCCTCTGGATAGCGTAACAAAATTAAATTAACAATTCCGTGAGCAACTTGTCTGAAGGAACAAAACCACTCTTCCATATACTCCCTTAGCTTAAAGTGGCTTATCCAAACATCTTAACCCAAGGCCTGGCAGAAGAACTAGTATTTTAAAGAACTCTTGGAGGTAGACAAAATGAGGGCATATGAATCTGCAGCAGTGGTGAAATGTAAAATTTGTTACTACCAGTTCTGTGTGCATAGCTTCGTGGTGGTGGTGGTGGGGGGGTTAATATGACTGAGTGGGTGTGGCCAACTTTTTTTTTCTTTTAAAACCATTTTTTCTACAACCTCTTCGGCTGAAGAGGTTGTTAAAAAATGCTTTTAAAGCCTCTGACGATCCCAGCTGACTTGCCTGATTGGCAGAAGCTTTATTTTTTTAAGCCTCTGACGATCCCAGCTGACTTGCCTGATCAGCAGAGGCTTTCTTTTTTTTTTTAAAAGCCTCTGACGATCCCAGCTGACTTGCCTGATCGGCAGAAGCTTTATTTTTTTAAGCCTCTGACGATCCCAGCTAACTTGCCTGATCGGCAGAGGCTTTTTTTCCTTTTAAAAACATTTTTTCTATAACCTCTTTGGCCGAAGAGGTTGTAGAAAAAATGTTTTTAAAAGCCTCTGATGATCCCAGCTGAGCTGCGTGATCATCAGAGGCTTTTTTTTTTAACCTTTAAAAGCATTTTTTCGGCCAAAGAGGTTGTAGAAAAAATGCTTTTAAAAATTAAAAAAAAGCCTCTGATGATTGCGCAGCTCAGCTGGGCAATGGGGGAGGGGGCAGGGATTTTTGCTACCAGTTCTCTAAACCACCCGCCTCCATCGCTACCGGATTGGGTGATCCAGTCCGAACCAGGAGCATTTCACCCCTGATCTGCAGAGAGTTGTTGTTTCAAACAGCAGGTACAGGAACATTGACTAAACAATGTGACATTTCTTAATCTATGAGTTTTGAAACAAGTTGACTCTATTGGAATGCACAGACAGTTAGATACTATGGGGAAACAAATAGGCCCTATGGTATTTATGGTTTTATAGGCAATAACTAGCACTTTGAATTGCATCCAGAAACTAATTGGTAAAGAATATGTTTACATGTCAATTTTTTATGAGCATAACAAGGTCTGCCCCTCCCATAGTGACTTAATGAATGAAAATGTAGCCAAATCCATAAATAAAAGTGCACTTCTGGTTCTTTAGAGTACATTAATTAATTTTAATGATGAAGAGCAAATCTAAACACATTAATTTGCTTCTGTCACATTTATTTATTTATTTATTTATTTTTCAGATTTCTATATCGCCCTTCTCCTTCCGGACTCAGGGCGGTGAACAGCCAAATATAAAACATTTGTACACAAAAGTTAAAATAGATTTAAAATAATTAAATAAAATTTGGCCCATAATTTAAAACATTTCAATTAAAATCAATATCAAATTTTAAAACCAACCATAAGATCAGGACAGCCCAGCTAACTGAAAAAAGTAGGTTTTAAGGGCCCGACAAAAAGTCCGGAAGTCTGGGATCACTCGTATCTCTGGGGGTAGATTGTTCCAGAGGGTAGGTGCCACCGCAGAGAAGGCTCTCCCCCTGGGGGTCACCAGCCGACATTGTCTGGCCAACGGCACCCTGAAGAGGCCCTCTCTGTGGGAGCGAACTGGCCGGTGGGAGGCAATTGGTGGCAGAAGGCGGTCCCGTAAGTACCCCGGCCCTAAGCCATGGAGCGCTTTAAAGGTGATCACCAACACCTTGAAGCGCACCTGGAAGTCCACCAGAAGCCAATGCAGCTCGCGCAGGAGAGGAGTCACATGGGAGCGCCCCGTCGCTCCCATAATCCCTTGCGCGGTCGCATTCTGCACCAGTTGGAGCCTCTGGGTGCACCCCAAGGGGAGCCCCATGTAGAGAGCATTACAATAGTCCAGACGAGAAGTGATGAGTGCTTGAGTGACCGTGCGTAAGGAGTCCCGATCCAGAAAGGGGCGCAACTGGTGTATCAGGCGAACCTGATAGAAAGCCCTCCTGGCCACGGCAGTCATATGCTCTTCTAAAGACAGCCGTGCATCCAGGAGGATGCCCAAGTTGCGGGCCCTTTCCGTGGGGGCCAATGATTCGCCCCCAATAACCAGCGATGGCACCAGCTGGCTATACCGGGATGCCAGCAGCCACAGCCACTCGGTCTTGGAAGGGTTGAGTCGAAGCCTGTTTCTCCCCATCCAGACCTGCACGGCCTCCAGGCACTGGGACATCACTTCCAAGGCATCGTTGGGATGGTCTGGGGTGGAGATATACAGTTGAGTATGGAACTCCACCCCAAAACCATGGATGATCTCGCCCAGCGGCTTCAAATAAATGTTGAACAGGAGGGGCGAGAGGACTGACCCTTGTGGCACCCCACAAACAAGGCGCCTCAGGGTCGACCGCTGCCCCCCTGTCAACACAGATTGCGACCGATCAGAGAGATAGGAGGAGAACCACCACAAGACGGTGCTCCCCCCTCCCAGTCCCTCCAGCCGGCGCAACATGATACCATGATCGATGGTATCAAAAGCCGCTGAGAGATCTAAAAAAATGGAAAATATTTTAAGTGGAATCATATTTGAACTATACATCCATTGGATCTGTCATTTTAGGCAAACCATATGGTGAAAGTCCCTGATTGCAGAAGAGGAATAAGTACATCTATTCTGATCACACTAACTATGCTTGTTCAGCTTTCAATAGAACTTTTCCTTGTATCCAGAAACCTCTTCATTTCATCTCTCATTTTAATCAAGAATGAAAACTGCAATTTTGGATACATACTGCACATATAAATCTCCAGGGCCCTGAATACAAGCAGTTATAATTTTTCATTACACCAAGTACACAGTTTTCATCAACTAGTATTAAATTGTAGTCCTGATTTCAGAGATTGCCAGTATCTAATGGTATCCTTTTAAATTATGCATCTTTGCAGCTAAAATGATTTTTTTTTTGCCAAATTTAGTCAGGATCAAAGCAGCTGTTTTATAATATGAGCTTTATTATTCTTTAACTTTTTTCATTTAACTTTTATTTCAAAATAAAATTTTAACCACCAAGAGTCACCTGGTTGAGTTGGGCAGCCTTAGAAATTGAATAAACAAATAAAAGAAATTAAACTAGGCCACTTATATGCATTATGGATCACATATATATAATACTCTAATGCTGTTTTAGTTAGTAGGATATCATTCTATAGATGTATGCTTACTTTTGAAAACTTTCCATTAGACATTCCATTAGAGATTCAGACAATTTTACTGGGAACTAGTTGTCAAAGAAAAGATTGTAGTGGTAAAACAGTCCCTTTACATTATATAATCTTTCAAATTTTTTAAATAAAGAGTGTCAACAGTATATTGCATAGATGGAAATATTTGTCATTTAGCTTGCATGGCTTTTTGTCAAAGATTCAGAATACTTTGAAATTCATCTTTATTTCATGCATTTTTTACCTCCTGTTTTGGTTATGAGGGTTATGAGGAAAAAAATTTTCAGCACTTGTCTCACTGGTTTCACATGGTCCTCAATTGTCTCAAAATAGATCAGAATGCCATCCAGATATACTAAGACCCCGTTGTACAGCACCTCATTAATTAGCTGCATGAATACGGCAGGGACTCCCTGTAGTCCGAAAATCATCACTTTAAACTGGTAGCATCCTAATGGGCAGTTAAAGGCAGTTTTCCATTCATTGCCTTCCTTGATTTTCACTTGGTAGTACACCTCTCAGGTCTGTTGGCTAAGTGTCCCAACATGTCTTTCATGAGGGGGAGAGGGTACATGTTTTCTACACACACATGTGCTCAGGTTCTTTTTACTTATCTTTCTGCCGCTCAGGCTCATTTTGCTTTTCCTCCATGGTGATGGGACCC